GTCGAACCAAAACTAATAGCTGTTAATTCAATCAAGGCAGATATATTTCTGATAGCTTGTGAAACCGGCTCAGTCTTTTGGACCGAGATGTCAGTCGCTACACTTATCATTCGATAAGTACCTGTATCTGTTGATTGCTTTAATTATAGACAGTTTTTTTAACATAAAATACATTCCCAATTTATCAGCTTCCGACGCAAGTCGACTTTTGTAGCCCACTGGTACGTGATCGTGTAACTCAGTCATCTATTTTCTTTTGTTTCTTTTTTCTGCTATCCAGGTGTGATGTCCACAGTGGGTACAATTCCTGGTTTCGTTGGCGTCTCTTTGACTGGTTACATACTGGAGAAGACCCACAAGTGGTCTGTCGTCTTTTATGTGACCTCGGCCCTCAACATAATTGGTGGTCTGTTCTATCTAGGCTACGGATCAGCGGAGGCTATTGTTTAATGACCATAATTATTGTGTAAATATTTTTTTGTGGACTAAGAAATTGCCCAGCTTAAGGACTATTGAATGAAGAGCCTTGTCCCAAGATAATGCACAACCGTCTTTAGGGATCCATTTATTTGTTTTGGCTTAGAATCCATGGCCAGCCTTCGACAGCTTGATGTATTGAAATGCTTTATCTATCACATTTTGACTCCGGTTAGTTAGAGTACAAGCGCTCTTTGAGGGCTCCTTTCCACCATCTCTTTCTCTACATAGGGTATATAATCTTGTGATTAAATGCGCGCACTACTCTTTCTACTAAAAGTTCTACGATTCATCCAATTATCTACCCGCAAATTTTGCATCTATTGCTGCTAATTCAACTACCTCCCGATTTTCTCCCCAAACCATCTACCATAATGCTTTCCACTTACTATATCTGCCTATTCCAACTAGTTACTATAAATATGGATATGTTATGGAGAAAATGACCTCTCATGTTAGGATTATCCGGATGTTAAACGCTTCCACACATACGTATTCTAACATTAAATGAGTGAGGCTAAGAACTCTTGTCACGTTGAGATTTCAGAGGTTTTGTTCTGTTAGTACTCGCAATTTATTTTAAAATAAAACCAGAAATAAGGGGCTTCTTAACCACAATCTGTGCAATCAAGTCTGAACTCATTATTGTAAACGAAGGTAATCACAATATGAGATAGTAAATATATTAGTCAATATGAATTAAGCCTCATTTCTGGCCTTTTGATTTAATACAACTGAGGAGAGAGAATAGTAATAATGAATTTGTTTGATCATCACTTGCAGGTGCATTAGAAGGATGTGCGCCCGATGATCCCTCATCGATGAATCCGCACGCGCTTTTAATCCGAGAAGTGGCTTTGCGCAATGCTAAATAGAAATAATTAGAAGAATCTTGCCAAAGCCCCTTAATATCCTAATAAAAATGTAGACTGGCTTGAAGGAATACAGGAAATAAACGCAGCCTCACTAGAATAAGAATGAGAATATCTTTCCATAATAAGTGGTGGTATAACATATCTTGATCTCTTGAGTAACTTGAAGTGAGGCGGATAGGACTAAGTCAAACAGTCTTAAAGCATAACGAATATGATGCCAGAGAACTTTCAGCGGTACCCCATCAAGACAACCAAATAAAGCATAGTCGTGAACCGGAGCAGAAGTATCAGATGTTTAGCTAGTTGGCAATGGCTCAAATCGCAAGGCAAATTAGCGGGCGGAATTTACTTTGTAGTTATAAAGAAAAAGGAAAGCCTCCGGTGGATAAAGATATAGTGATTCTATGTGTTGTAGAACTGGTTGGGTGGAGTGAGCAGAGTTCAGGCTCACCAGTCATCATTGTCATCATCATCATCGTCGTCCTCATATTTCTGGCTTGATTCTCGGATGCTCTTTACGTTTTTAGTCGATTGGCCTGCAAATGATCGCTTCGCCTTAGAATCAGGAGGGCAATTTATGTCGCCTGCATAATTAATCACCGTTCCAACAGCTAGGCGCCATTCAAGCATTTCAACAGAAAAATCATCCTTCATGCCCAGATCCTCAAACCCAATTATTCGGTCGATTAACTTTCCGTCTTTCATAATCAAAATCGTTGGTATAATTCTCACATCAAGGCGTTGAGTAAGAAATGGCGATTTTTCTACATTCAGCTTGACCATCCTACATTCCAAATGCTTTGGCGCAAGAGTTGTTAGATGTTTATCAAATATCTTACACCGGAATGTTGAATCGCGGTAGAAGTGGCATAAAAGGCCAGAGGGGGATTTATTACAAGCATCAAAAAAGGCTCGTTCATCAGGAAGCTCAGAGTAGACGCCGTGACCATTAGCGATCCATTCTTCGCGCTCCTTTGCTTGGGCTTTCATTTCTTGCATCCTTTTGCGTCTAATGGATTCTATCTCATCCTCCTCTAAATTGTCTAGTCGATTGAGCTCTGAATCTATCTGCTCCTCGATCACTTTAGTGACTTGTACCAACTTTTCTTCAATTGATTTCTCTATTACATTCGATGGTAGTTGCGCCGCCATTGCTTAACCTAAAGGATAATTCTAATTATTCAATTAATTCATAAAATACGAAATATTAACAATGAGCGGCTTTACTTAAGTTCCAAATAAAGCGGAAGCATAAAAAAAGTGATTTAAGGCAAAATATAAGATTTATGACTACTTACGAATGACGAGATAAATTCGATGGGTAATGTATCTTTGTAACGTGCCTTAAATATTATCTGTTTATGTTTCATAAAAAATCGTGCTGAGTAAACAAGCCCAATGTGTCCTAAACGAGTTCGTTGGCAAGAAAGCATGAGGACGGACGTCCACCAAAGGAATACTTCATTGTGAGATAAGATATGGCGAAAAAAAGAAGGCTCTGATCAACCATTCGCACCTGTAACAGAAAACAGGTCATATCCAAAAAAGTTTATTTAAAATCCGCTTAGGATGCCATAGTTAACATAGTTTTAATATAGTGCGGGTGCAAATGATCCCTTATATCGTGTAGATTAGGAATAATTAGGATAAAAAAGTACTAGACGAATCACCTGTGACCTGCACTCAAAAATATTCCAACTACACAAAAAGCACTTATGGTGATTTTTGTGATAATGCCTTTAGGTCTGTGAAATATATGCCGAAAGAAAAGCTAAGTGCAGGTAAACGTCTTACAATCTAATTAATATAATGGTGTAATAAAGATAAAAAAATATCTAGGCAAATAAAAGAACATTTCGATTGCTAACCGCTGTTGTACCACAAAACAGAGAGCAGCGCGGGGGAAGATGGGAAGTTGAATGTCAGACGCAAAGCATAGCAACTCATACCGTATCTAGTTCTCAAACGACCTAGGAGTTTATTTCAGTAAAATTAAATTTAAGTGTTAAAGTTGATATATTTTTAATTGTTTGTAAGAGTTTAAAGCTCTAAGTCACTTAAAACTACAACATTGCAAAAGTAGTTTACGTTGTCTGCGTATGGAGTATTTATCTAGATTTTAATTTAATTAAAGTCATAAAGTCCAATACTATAACTTAGGCAGCATTTATTCACATATTTAAGCAGAGGCAGTTAATAAATTTACAGAATTGTCATCAATAGATTTTTTTTCAAAGTAATTTTCATTTATAAATATATGCATGGGAAGAATGAGGTTAGACATTTTCAAGAAATCCGCTCTACTTAGGTACAGAGTGTGTCATAAATGCGGGTGGCACTTTACTCGCCTTCAGTAACTACTCCTAAAACAAGTTATTATTTTATAATATAGAATAACAATGAGGAACAAATGGGGTTAAGCGCAACCGAATTAGCATCGGAAGCTTTTTCCTCCTCATTACTTTGTTTAATTATATTTGATTTCAACTTAAGCAATATTTCATTTTAAATTTTCAAAAATATGATAAAACTTGCTCTACCGCATAACTAATACTAAAATGCACTTTGTTGCAAATACTATCCAATCAAGAAAAGTGCATGCTATAGAAATCGTTCTAACTAATTAAAATACTATAAAAACCTTTAACTTCGGAGGAGAGGATTAGCAAATACTCCGACACATATGAGAAATGATGCACTTTTTTCATTCAAGAATGCTGAGAATACTCGGTCTATCTAACGATTGTGTAAATACTTGAAAAAACTTGCTATTGGACAGTTCTTTGATAGATTGACTTTGAAGAACCTTATGCTCCGTGTGTAGAGGTGACCAGATGATATTCGTAAGTTACCCTGACCAGAAACCGAAGTAGGATGAGCTTGTAGCTATTACTAAATTTATGCTAATAATTGATCGGCTCTCCAAGTAAATTCATCGTTGGACGGTGAACCGAGGCCTTATTCACACAGCTCTTTAGTCACACGCCCGAAATAATTCTCT